CTCGAATCGAGGAGCCGCGCGATCATTTCTCATTTTTCCGCTGCCACCGTTGGCGAGAAGGAGATGGAGAGCTATACCGACAAGCGAGAGATAGAGAGAGATAGATAGGGATAGAAGGGAGAAGCCGTGCTGTAAACCGAGCAGAGATACCGTCGGGGTGAGAAGGGGAGGGGTGGAGACGACAAGTTGCAATGAAAACCACTCGTGCGATTATATGATGAGTAATGTTTTTTAATACCCCCACCGCGTGCACGCAAGCAAGGGGTGGCCGGTCATTTTCGAGTGCAGCCACTCTAAAACACCCTTAATTGCTGTGCCGGCTCTTTGTATCGGCGGTGAACCAGGGAGAAAGAGAGGGGGGAGAGGGGGTCGGAAGTGGCTGCGGAAAGAGCAAGAGTCATTGATTTATCGTTCTCGAGAGCCGGGGTGCGAATAAAGCGAACGGTAAACGGGGGGAGAGGGAGAGGGAGAGGAGGGGAGGGGGGGGGGGGGGGGAGGGTGAAGTGTTAAGAAAAGTGTAACGATCGCTTCCATCCAGGGCTTAATGATCGTCGACGAGGTAAAGGGAAACCTCGGTTCACGATCCTCTCGTGACTCTGGGAAACTGGTTTTTCCTTCGATCGGTTGCATATTATATCTCTCTCTCTCTCTCTCTCTCTCGTCTCTCGTATATAACGTTTAATAATAAAATTATTCTTTTGGATAATGATAATTAATATATTACGCTCGATATATTTTTTTAATGAGGGAAGAAAATTTCGACGAAACGTACGTACGATTTTCTTACGATTATACGGTGATTTATAAGAACAAAGAATTTATAAGATAAAGATAAAGAACGATATATGGATAAAGAATTGCGCGAGCGGTTAAAAGGGGGAGGATAAAGGGAGAGAGAGAGAGAGAGAGTTAATGCATTTATAATGGTGTTTTGGGACCGGTCGGTGGTTTTGCGGTTACAGTGTCCTCGGCGACACTAATGCAACCAACCTCGGTTTGCGACAATATAATGGCGACAGACGAAGAGAAAGAGAGAGAGAGAGAGAGAGAGAGAGAGAAAGCTAATAGAATGGGGCGACATATTTTCAAATTATTATTTGCTCGACTTGCCCCGTTGGAACACATGTTCCTCCTGTGGATAGATATACGTGTCGATTCTCTCTCGTACAAAGGGATGGTATGAAAGGTTCGAATTAACATTCCCTATCACGCGTTTTTTTAACGTTCGACAAATTTCTAACCACCGACTCTTCGAAAACCGCATTGGATTAAAACGATGATCGAGAGGTAACGAGCTAGAAAGAAAACTATATATATATAAAGTCCAACCACGCTCTTGTATAGAAATTGCCGTGCCAGTTACAGTATTTTTAGACGTGGAAACATAGTTATAACCCCGCTAACTCATAAAGGCCGACAAATGCGCATGCAAATGTATCGTTACACCCTCCTTTGGTTAGCCTCGTTTCTTTTTTTTTTTTCTACCTGTTTCACGAAATTCCACGGCTCGCGAAAATCTACCGTGTGTACGTACACTCGATACAAATACAACCGTGCAACCACCTGGTTTTCGTGACACGAATTTTTCTTCTCGCGAGAGGAGTGGAGAGGGGAGGAAGATCGGCTCGAAACGAGCGCATTTGACTAGCCGGAGAAATCAAGACGATCCGTTATAAAGCGGTTTACCGGAGGCGTGGGAAGCTCGTGTGTTCTTCCGGCTGGTGTCGAGAAGCCTCAAGAAACAACGGAGCCGGATTCTCACGATGTGCGATGTATCACGACGGCGTTGGCTGATGTGTCGCCATACGGCTGTTACGTACGTACGGCGCCTCCACTTTTATGGTGAGGGAGAGAAAGAGAGGAAGGGGGAGAAAAAAGAAAAAGAGAAAGAGAAGAAAGAAGAAGCGGAGAAAAATCACCGTTTCTTC